TCTCCCCTGAGCCTCCTCTTCTCCAGGCTGAGCCCCCCCAGCTCCCTCAGCCTCTCCTCACAGCACTTGTGCTCCAGTCCCTTGAGTTCCCTTGATGGTTCTTGGGAAGAAGTTCCAAGTTATCCCAGTTCCAACCTCCCGGAGCTCAGCCCCACGGAGTTCCAGATCAGTCCAGATCCCCTGGGGCTGCTGTTCTGTCTCCCCCAGCAGCACAAGTGTGACCTCTAAATCCAATTGGGCAGCCTCTCAGCTGGAATAATTGCATTTAAGCCAAGCTGGAGCTCCCAGGCTGGGGCTGGGCAGCCAGCCTGGCTCCCCTGGGCGGTCCTGCCCTCTTTGCTTTTTGGGGAGGAGAGAGAAGTTGCATTTGGGAGTTGTCAGGAGCCTTTAATTCCACGGCAGGAAGGTTGGGATCATTAAAGGGCAGCACCTGCAGGGCAGGGGACAGACTGGGTGTCTCTGTGGGCTGGAGCCACAACAGTCCCGTGTCACGTATTAATTTACAGGATTATAGGATTTTTGTCCAAAAGTACTAAATGCTTTAATTTTTGGAGTCATAAAAATCTTGGGGTGTTTAAATTAATTAAGCTTAGCATTAGTTAATAGGATTTTTGTCCTGCACAAGCTACCTAGAGTCAGGTACAGCACTTTACCCTGTCCCACACCACGGATCACCCAACAGTGGGGTTTTGGGAAGTGCAAAGCACTGGGTCCATATTGCCAAGGAGCCTTGGGGGGCTCATGGGCTGAGACCCCTCAGCTTAGTGTGGTGGAAGGTGTCAGGCTGCAGAACCACTGCTTTTAACTTGTAGGAAAATACTGCAAATTAACCTTGTTTGCTGCAGAACTGGTTGGGTTGGATAGAGGCACATCCAAGTTTTATGTGGATATAGATATAAAATAGGTACAGATATAAAGTAGGTATAGATTTAAAATAGGTGTAGATTTAAAATAGGTGTAGATGTAAAATAGGTGTAGATGTAAAATAGATATGGATGTAAAATGGATATGGATGTAAAATAAGTATAGATGTAAGAAAAATACAGATGTAAAATAGGTATAGATATAAAATAGGCATAGATGTAAAATAGATATGGATGTAAAATGGATATGGATGTAAAATAGGTATGGATGTAAAATAGGTATAGATATAGAATAGGTATAGATATAAAATAGATACAGATGTAAAATAAATACAGATATAAAATAAAGATGTAAAATAGATACAGATATAAAATAGGTATAGATATAAAATAGAGACATAGATATAAAATAGGTATAGATATAAAATAGATACAGATGTCAAATAGATACAGATGTAA